GTGTATAGTGTTAGATTGTTTAAGGTTAGTATTAGAGACTTTGTTATACTTTCCTAAACTACCTAAGCTTTAGTAGATGTGGTTTGGGACATAGTAGTCTTCTAGTAGTTCAGGGTGGGTAGCTTACTAGTGTTACTTTCTGGTTCTGAGAGGTTTGAACCACTTACTAAATCTGAGCTTAGGGTTACTATAGATAGTAGTAGTGTAGGGAAAGTAAACACAGCTTCTCTGGTCAACAGAGGGGCAACTGTAGTAGCTTCTGAAGATACCTAGTATTAGGGGAAACACAACCTGGTTATATGTAGCTAGGAAGGGAATCAAATTTGCTTTAGGACTATAGTAGTGTGTTTAGGAAGGCTAGAGAGCCTTACTAACAGTAGAGAGTGTTTAGAAAGGCTGGGGGAACCTTACTAACAGTAGGAGATGTTTAAGAAGGCTGGGGGAACCTTGTCAACATATAGTATAACAAAGACTACTTTGCTAATGTTAAAAAAAAAGTGAAACAGTACTAGGGAAGTACTGAACACTGTTGTGAACAAGTTCTGTTAAGTTCCAGGTTTGCTAACATATGTAAAACACTAACAGGACAAAAGTATCTTTGTTACAGTTAGGAATAAGAACTGTCTATGTACATACAAGAACTTGCCTTTGTTATAGTCAGGAATAAGAACTGGCACAATAAAGATGAAAGATGGGAACTATATATACTAGAAATGAAACAATAGTAGCTTATACTAAAAGGGGAAAACAATGCTAAAGATAAAAGGAGGGTGTATACACTTAAGAATGAAGGGTATGTGACTCAGACAATAAGGAAACATAGTGTAACAACAAAAGGGGAAAGATGTGTGACTCTAGAGTCTATACTGAGAAGGCCTAAGCTTGGGAGAAAGTCTAGGTTCAGAAATGTGGTTCTACACTAGGTAAGGTATAGAACTGTGTAGAAACTGTTGTAAGCTGTAGGGTAGGCTTACATATGTATACTTACAGAAATACTAGAAGGCCTAGTACACACTCTTAGATTAGTACATTTAAGCTGGTTGTTTATAAAGGTTGAAAAGCTTGTACATATCACCTGTGTTCCTAATCCTAAAGGTAGATCTGGAAGACCTCCTGTGTATAGTATGTAACTACTAAGTATTAAATAGTAACACAATCTATGACCAGACTCTACTACTCTGTATTAATGAAATCATGAATAATACTATTAGAGAATATATATATGTAAAGATTGACATGACTAACATGTTTTTCCAAACCTGTATGAATCTAGAACATATTTTACTCACTACAATTAGTACTCTGTTTAGACTATATGAGTAGACAGTCATACTAATAGAATTATGTAATGTACTAGCTATATAATAGTAGAGAGTTATAAGGGCCTTAGAACAGCTCATTAGAAGGATCTGTCATGTCTACTTAGATAATATTATCATCTAGTTAGAGTCAGAGGCAGAACACATTAGAAACATTAGAAAGGTTATGTAGACACTCTATAACAAGGGTCTTGTCTGTTTACAGAAGAAAACTAAATTATTCTGTACAGAGGTTAAGTTTCTTAAGTATCTAATTATAGAAAAGGGGACAGAAGTAGACTCAGACAAAGTCAAGCACATCCTAGAATAGTTACAGCCCTGGAGAGCCTAGGATGTTTACAGGTTTCTTGGACTTTTACAGTATATTGTAGTATACCTTCTACATTTTACAGAACATACTATAGTTCTTTCTCTACTCATAAGTAAAGATTGTAATAAGGTGTTTCTAGAGTAGAGACTAAAACACTAACACACTTTTAATACAATCAAGTCTATTGTTACTAGTTGTGAGTGCCTCACTTCTGTAGACTACAATTTAGGAGAGCAGATCTATGTAACTATAAATGTGAGTGATTCTAGGACTGAAGCAGTCCTTAGTGTCAGATCCTTATAGAAAACAGTAAAGTCTGTAGCATTTGAGTCTAAGTAATACAATAGTGTAGAATGTAATTACCTAGTACACAAGCACAAACTCCTTACAATTGTTTACACACTTAAGAAATAGTGTGTTTACCTCCTAAGAGTACATTTCCATATTTACACAGATTACTATACTCTTAAATACTTAGATACACAGTGTAATCTGTCCTAGAGACAAGCCTAGTAGATGGAGGACCTTTCCTAGTATAACTACAAGCTGTATTACATTAAAGGAGAAGAGAACACAGTTGCTAATACACTCTCCTGTCATCTGAACTTTAATACTAGTCTAGAAAATGAGAACCCAGGATAGGAAACCTTGAGAAGCATGTTTATACAAATCTCTATAGATCCTGACCTTCTTACAACAATCAGGAACAGTTACAACACAGATGAGTTCTGTTACAAGCTTTAATACAATCTCAGAAGTATTACAGGAGCTTGTAAGAATTATGAGCTACTGTACCTAGACAACCAGTTAGTAATTCTAAGCTCTGGAAACATGTGTGAAACCTTGTACCACCTTGTGTATAATGAATTAGAACATTTTAGTATAGACAAGACTTATCTGTCCTTACACAACTCATTCTATTAGTCTAACATGTGTTAGGATCTTGAACAGAACTATATTCTAAACTACAATGTGTACTAATACAAAAAGAACCTAACTACAAAACCAGCTAGTCTGCTACATCTACTACTAGTTCTAAATACACATTTTGAGAGTATTATGATTAACTTTGTAGAACTGTTGCTAGAAGACAGTAGATACAACAGAATAGTAACAATGATGGATTAACTAGATAGTGTAGACATTAGGATTGAACTGTACAGGATGGACATGACAGTAGAAGAATTTGTGAAACTGTTCTTTAACAAATAGTATTATAAAAACAGCTTACCTTAGGAAATTGTTTCTAACTAGAACCATCTGTTCCTGTCTGGATTTTGGACCACATTATATGTAAGGATAGGTGTAAAGCTGAAGATGTTAACAGTATACTACTTAGAGACAGACAGAGTAAGTGAGTGTACTAATAAGACAGTAAGCTAGTTGTTATACTTCTATGTTGATTACTAACAGTAGGGTTAGTAGGCTCAGCTCTCATAAGTCTGGTTCTGTATTATAAATATGGTAAATACTTCTACAGGATATTCCCTATTCTAACTATGTTATAGATGCTCACTATAGACAGTTCTACTACTTACACAACTAGAACAGTTATAAACAGATTCTCTAGAAGTATGAGTATTAAAATTCCTAGTCTACATACATTATAATGTTACAGAGGTACAAGACACTCTTCTAGTAGTTAAGACCTACTAGACACATTATACAAATCAAGAATGTGCTACAGAAGATTGTTTCACAGTAGAAGACTAAGTTATACTCTCTACTCACAATTGCTACTAGGACTACCTTATACAAACACTAGGACATACTGTAAAATTCATACCTTACTACACTAGACCTTACTTTATTATTGTAGCAAACTTAGACAAGTCAGAATACACTCTAGAGCTACTCAACTCTAATCAGACTTTCTCAGGATTCTATACAAGCTAACTCAAGCATTACATCCTGAATAATAATGTGCTCTTTCTACAATGTGCTCTCAACCAACTAGGTCTGGTGGAAGGAGAGGAGGAGGTTTACAAGATATTGTATATTATGGACACAAGGTACAAATACTAAAGTTAGTAGTATTTGGTAGAATGGGTAGAATAGGGTGAACAGGGACAAGAATAGAAGGTACAGTCAGAGCTTCAAAGGTTAGCCCCTGAAGTCCTACAGGCCTGGTTAGCTTTACATCCCTATAAGGGTACTATTTTTTTAGAGGGGGGAGGGGTGTAAGCCTGTTTAACAGCTTACAACAGTTTCCACACAGTTCTACAGTACAGAACTGTAGAGCCTGTATACAGATTCTTAGAGTAGCTTACTAAGCTACACACTTTTTCCATGTGCTTGTATCAAGTCCCCCTTTTGTCTTAACCACCTTCCCTACATTCCTAGATATGTACTATCCCTTTTTGTCTTCCCCTTTAAGTATGTATCATGTTCCCTTTTTTGTTCCCCTTTTACTTTCCCCTTTGAGTATAGACCATTTCCTTAGTATATATAGTTGGTATTCTTTGCCTTTGTTGTATCAGTTTGTATTTCTGACTGTAATAAAGGTGAGTCCTTTGTCAGTACATGTATCAGTTTGTATTTCTGACTGTAACAAAGATACCTTTGTTCTGTCAGCTTTTACATGTTGTTACAAACTCAGAACTTATTTACAACAGTGTTTAGCACTTCCCTAGTACTGTTCCAACCTACTCAATCAACAGACAATGATGCTCACACAATAGAGAGAATGAATGAGAGTAGAGTCTACTAAACCCTTATCTGTGTGATCCCCCTTTAAGTATAACCTATCTTAACAGTATCTTTGTTATAGTCAGTAAACAAGAACTCTAGGTACATGATAAAACACATCTTTGTTGTAGTCAGTAAACAAGAACTGGCACAACAAAGGTGTAGACATAAGCTTTATATACTAGAGAAGAAAGGAAAGTGGCTCAGAACAAAGGAAAGCATGATACAAGTGAAAAAGGAAACTATATGTGTGACCTAAGGCTGTGTGAGTGAGTTCTGGGACAGAACTCTCAGAACCCTCAGAATTGTAGTAAGCTGTACAGTAGGCTTACATATAATAGAATTCAACTTATTTTTATAATATAATTAGACTAAGTAATTGAATGTACAAAATGTATAATAATACTTTCAAAAATAATATAATAGTATAATACCTTAGAGGAATTGTATAATTTTATAATGTATTAGTATATCATGTACAGAGGTAAACAGTGGTAGGACTGTATTATTTTATAAAAGTAGCAACCACAGCTCTAGTATGACTGAACAGTAACTTTGTAAGTTAGGAATAAATGGATAGTATATATGGCAGACAGTAGATCAAGGCAATACAGAATGTATAGACAACTACTACGGAATGACAACCTTTATTAGAGAAATATCTAAACCAAAATATTATTCTTTCAGCTCGAGACCTCCTGAGAACTCTGTGCCGACGGTGGCCGCGGAGCACCTCGTCCTCTCGCCCGTCCACGACCCGCACGGGGGTGACCAGTCTGCATGCCTCGTCCCCGATCAAAGGTACGTCCACGAGGATGGAGGAAGCCCCTTGTGGGCGCGCCGAAGGAATGTTGAGGTGCGTGTGTAGGAACGTAAGGTGGACCTCCGCGATGATGACCGCGTCCGCCTCGGAAACCGCCTCGAGATCCCTGTGGAACTGGGGTCGAATTTGCGGCAGAAGGACCGTCAATTGATTCATCGTTCTCTTCGGCTTGCGTCTGCGGCAGGCTTGGTTGTGACCGGACATGACTAACGTTACCATTGGGATTGTTGTTCCCATTAACGTGCGGTTCGCCATTGACTTTCCACGGCCCGCCGCGAGGAGCACCTCCTCGGCCCCGATTTGGGTTTGTCATGATACGCATTGGCGGGGCACCCCTGTAGAGGTCCATAAGTACCCAGATGGTTGTCAAATTATGTTTATGCAAGAACAAACCTGTTTGGAGCTGGATGGAAGCCAGCCGCAGGAGCCTGCCCTCGCGGTGGCTGCACAGCGGGATAGGGTCCAATTCGAGGCTGCTCCCCACGCTGCTGATAGAATGCAGGTTTCTGTTGTTGGGCGGCGTGGGCATTCGGATTTGTGGAAACGATAAACTGCTGCCTAGTTAAGTTTAGACAAGTATTGAACTCGACTGTTGACCCTCTATACAATGGACAACTGCAATCATATGTCACTGACTAGTTTTTGTAGCAGAAGGAACATCAGACTTACCGGCCACCGAGCGTCGTTCCTGACATGAACGGCACATCCCACGCAACATCCAACGATTTGGCATTTAATCCAACAACAATACCCTTTACTGCTAGCGGGACGCTACCAGAATCTTTCACCATCACCACTCGATCACCCAACGAGAACGTCTGGTTTTGCAAGCGATATACAGCATGCGAGGGCTTCAAGATGGCTTGACGCGGGATACCTTTCACAATTGCTTTTTTGATCGTTCCCGGGATTTTGTTCTTAGTACATTCATCCGCAAGCTCGACAACCTGAATAACGCATTCTTTGTCGAGCTGATCGCAGAACAGGGAAACAGCTTCGAGGTCTCGGACGCCCTTCTTGCTCAACCAGGTTTTTGCCTCGCGGACCTGCGCGTCGGGCTTATCGCCGGTAAAGATATCCGAGGCTCGCGCAATATCTTCAGAGGAAATTAGTGAACGTAAGAGGTGAAGAGTAGAACCAAAGGAGTGGATCCCGATAATGGACTTACGGTCACCGCTATTAATCAACTTTTGGAACAGTTCAGGGAATGCGTCCTAAAGCTAACGTCACGTCTAATTCAAGATGCAATGAGCCACACAAGCATACCTTATACTCTCGAATAAGCTCGATAGCCTTTTCACTGAACTCCCAGAAGCGCCCATTCTTACGAGAATAGCCAAGAACCTTCAAACTCTTCGCTTCAAACTTCAGACTCAATCCAAGATTAGTCTTTTGCCCGTCTGACGTCAAGACCAGGAAACTCGAGGTAATCTTAGAGAGCGCATGACCGGAGATGCCGACTTGCTCTGCCACCCTATATGACGGATAATATCGGGCACCGAGTCTGTTCGCGACTACGGCCTTAAACTTGTCGACTTCAGCTTTTTCACTAGGGAAGAACTAAAATAATGATTAGAACAGGTGAATAAACGATTGGTAATCACGAAGAAATAGCCTACTGCTAGCATGACTGAAAGTGACTTGACCGTCGTCTCAGATACCTGCGCCGCGACCCCGTATGCATGGTCGCCGAGGAAGAATACCTTGGAACCTGTTGGGAACTCCTCGGAGAGTGGAGGTGCCTCTTTCTCCATGAAGCGCGGATCTTCCGATATAACTTGAGGCAGAACCATCTGTAGAGCCTGCTCAAACTCGTTGTCCTGCCCTTCATATTTCTTAACGAACGCTCCAGTATCAAGACGTTTTAACCCTAAAAAGAGGTAAATCAACGTGTAGGTCGGAATGAGATTCCATCTACCTTTCAGAGGTCGAACATGAAGTAACACCTCAACAGGACCCGTAATTACTCCCAGCCGCTTCGAATAAAAGTGTTCGATCTTTTCCGCTTTTGCCTTCCAAAAGTTGATCGCTTGCGGTGTATGTGGATTACTGAGCACTCGCGTTGAACGCCCATCGCCAAAGGAAACTTGCTCATACTTGAACAAATGATCAGACACAGCAACAACCATTGCTTCGTGGACGAATGGCCATCCGACAAACGCACGATGACCGACCATCTCGCGTGCAATCTTCTCCGTCTTCTCACCTTCTCTCGGGTTTTGAATATGGACGATCATGGACTTGTTTTTGCTTTCGCTACCATGTACATTCACTCCGTGATAACCAAGCTGGGCAGTGTGTGGAAGTGTCTGCAGAGTTGGGAAGCCAGCGAGAGCCTCTGCACCAAGGAAGACGCCATCACATAAGCCAGGGATGAGATGGAGACCATCAAGCGTTGGTAGATTGAATGGCTCCATAATTGCCAAGCATCGCGCAAGATCAGGAAAGAATCCAGGAAGAGAGGAAGGGTAGAAGGTCGGGGAGCTGGGATTGTATTTAAATAGCGTACTAGTTCCGAACGAATTCCGCTGTCGCTCCTCCTCTGTTAGCATATGTTCTTTGGCTAAGATGGAAATGATTAACAAATCCTCTGCATAAAGCGAGGGAATACTCACAGGCCATAGCCCTTAACAATAGGTTTTCGTCAATAAAGGGAATTTTCACAATAGCTTCCCATTCCTGCTTCTTGCCGTTCAGATCTTGCTCAAATTCCGTAGGATAAAAATTAAGAATAGAAGAATTAGGATCCACCATAAGACTCTATGAATCGCTGTAAGCATGGTCTCGCAGAGAAAGAGTCAAGTCTAATCGCGCGTACCCTGAATGCAGAGGGAATAAGTTCCATGCTAGCTGAAGGTAACACGCCCATAAGCTGCTCGAAAGGGCGGAAAGGATGCCCAAGTTCGAAGTTGAACTGCATTTTGTCAACGCCCTTCAGGTCTGAAAAGAACATGAATTTGAGAAGTTCAAGGCAAGGTAAAAACAAAATTCACCAGATATACGAGGTGCATAATGGTAATTGTAGAACCAGCTCCATGACGCCACTCCGCTATAGTAATAATGCATCACCCATTGGAGGCCCTCTACATAACGGAATACCAATTTGCCCATTTGTTCCGGATCGTCATATGAAATATCTAGTTTTTCCTGCAGCGGTAGGCCGATTGTCAGTAAAGCCTTAACCTGAGAATGGCCAGGTAACATACTCGATAATATGAACGTTTCCACTCATCCATACGCTCTTTAACAGTGCGATCGTGTCGCGTATCGAAGTCTTCGTCTTCTTCTTCAACCACCTTTGCACGTTCATATTTCCTAAGGACACGATCGACCGCCTCAATCGCTTCGGGGTCATCTGATTCTTCCGATTCATCCACCCAATCATCCTCGTTGCCGTCCTCGTCCTCGCCCTCGCCCTCGTCCTCAATATCCTCTTCAGCCGCTGTCCCGTTTCCTTTCCCAATCTCTGCGGCTCTCGCTGCCCCCGGCAAACGGAACACAACGAGGTTTTCGTCTTCGTCGTCATACTCGTCCCAGGTCACTTCCAAATGTAACTCCGCGGCGAGGTCTGCGATAAATACACGTTCCCGCGCAGGGAATGTATTCGGCATTCTGAGGGTGTCGGGTGGCGCCTTCATAGACGACGCGGCATGCGTCTTCCGTTGGGACAGAACGAATTCTTTAACCTCGTCGAAGATAATCCGTTGAGGCGGGGTAAGCACTATCAAGCGAATAAGCCATCGTCTACGAAGGCTATGACTAACATAAATCAGATACGCACCTAATTTATTACGACGTCGCGCTCCTTCCATCTCTTTGACGTGTTTTGCTTGTTTCCCTTTAAACCAGTTGAGATCCGCGTACTCCCTCTCGAATACCTCCTGCTCCCAAATGTTCATCTCGTCGAGTACCAGCTGCAAGCGTCTCGTGTTGATTACTCCGCCCTCGTTAATGTATCCACCCATCGACGGTAATACCCTCTTGTAGACTTCAAACAATCGCTCCAAACCATTTTCGTGGATATGCAAATCAGGAAGATTTGGTAAGAAATCGTTGCCGACGAAAACTGCCAGCAGGATAAAATCATCGATGACATGTTCGAGGCTATAAGAAAACTCGAGGGACGCTTCGATGTCGTGGAACTCTAGGTTGAGATATTCGCGCATGAGTAAAAGATGTAGAAGATAAAAGTTGATTGATTCCAGGCTGAAAGAAGTCGGTCAGTTACATCATCGTTGGTGGGAGAAATCCACCCACTTCGTATCCTTCTTGCGTCTCGATGCTGGACCGAATTTAACCTCCTCTCGGAGCAAGCAGAAGTGTGGGTCATGACTCAGCAAACCTAGCATGATGAGGTCTGCGTCTAAGCCGTAAAGACAGTGTCGCACGTTGGGATCATAGTCGGGCTGTGCCTTGGCCAAACGAATATATTCCATAATCTTATGTTCACCCTCTCCCGGGACATCGTGTCCAGATAACACGACCCGGACGTCGCGCCAATTCGCATCCTCGGTTATTTTCTTATTTACAAAATAACGCAATTGTTCGGACAACTTTGCCATGAAACGAGTGCCTGGGCAAGCCTAAGCTGCAATTCCGGAGTCAAAAACCTGTCAACGCACCTGGGGTGATACAATTGCTGTCAAAAGCCTTCTCATCCGGCAGCTTCTCTCCTTTCCTTTCTGCCTTTTCCCTCACTTCCTTGGCCTCCTTCGCAGTCCTGAAACGACGACTGCGCTGTTGGTTCATCTTCGCGCGTGGCGCCACACCATCGACAGCCATGAAAAAGAGCTTCTTTGGTTTCACCTTTCCGAACAGCATATCAACGTACGAGAATATAGACGTGAAAATCTGTTCCTCCGATAACCGAAAATGCGCGTCGTCATCATTGGGATGTGAACCTGGTCGACGTCAGAGTGGCACGTTGGACGACAACAAGCTTCGGCTTACAATTGTGGATTATTCCATTGAAATCGACATAGAAGTTATCTAGTGGAAATATAAGTAAGCCGTAGTTGCGGGAACCGCGAAGACATTGCACACCAAACTCGGGAATCTTGTTTTCCTCGATGAGCTGAGACGTCATCGGGTAACGCTCTCTACGAGAAAGCTATGTTATATGGGTACATTCAATTTGGCAGGTTAGGACTCACGAAATATAACGGAAGAACTGCGCAGAGAGATGCTCGTTAATACGACAATGAACGGTACTTGTGGATGACACTGCAAGCCATACCTTTGGAATTCCTAGGATACAAGTTGTTGAGCATACTGAAGAGCAAAAAGGAATGAAGCAATACTTAAACGTACCCATCCTAGAAAGAGAGTATACTAACTAACGGTCGTTCGTCGTGACTGTACAAGGGAGAGAGAGTGAGTGAGTGTCAGTGAGTGATACGCAGCAGCAGAGATGCACAACCGAGTGTCCTGTCCATATATGGAAAGGTTGTCGTAATAATGATCCAACAGAAATAATAAATCTTGTAATCACTCCTTCTTAAACTACAGCTCATTTGTAGAATACGTGCTCTCTGTCAAGGACACACGTCAAGTAACTTCAACTAGTATCCCGCTCTTAAACAGATTGCTGGAGCCAAAAATAAAGCAAAGACGTTATACAAATGTCCCATTACGTTACACAAACTCCCCATTACACTGCCTTCGTGATTTCAGCATGGCGAGTACTATATAGTGTTGCCAAGTGCCGCTAATAAGCGCCCACCTCCTAGCTTAAACCACACCCTTCTTATGCTCATCGTAAGCATCCTCCCATCTTGGATACAGTTCGCGGTCCAATTAACAAAAGTTTTATCCACACAATCTATAGTGTCCTTCACTTCAGGAGTCAACCGCTTCACGTGGCAGAAGTGCAACAACAGATCAATACTGGTCCTACTAGGTAATGTATCTCTCTTTAGCGTGATACGCTCTTGTTGTAGGATGCATGTTCCAACTGCTATGAAACTTAGACAGAGCACGTAAAAGATGGAATCGATCATTACTGCGCTTCTATCTCCTCTTAAGAATTTCGTTGCTTGGATATATCACGTTCTTGCCTTCATACACTTGAAACGCTTCAAAAAATCTGGGAAACGGGAAGATCTCGAGAAATCGATTATGCACAATCGCACTGCTCTCAGTTTTCGTCCTAGGGAAGGTCGTGGTCGTTCAGTATCGTTGTTAAACCTTGCACTTTGCCTGTGGGAACGACACAATCGATGGGGCCAATCGGAAGATCTAGAAAAGGCGATCGAATTGGGACGAACTGCCCTCGGGCTTCGTCCCAGGGATCACCAAAGTCGTCTTAAGTATCTCTATAACCTTTCAACCTCTCTAGAGACTCGATTTAAGCAGCACGGAAGGACAGAGGATCTTGACGAAGCCATTGAGCTGCTTCGAGCTGCCCTCAAGCTCCGCCGCAAAGATCATCTGGATCGCTCTGCGTCTCTCACGAACCTCGCATGCTATCTCCAAATTCGATACGACCAGTATGGAAGGACCGAGGATCTCGAGGAAGCCATCGAGCTGTGCCGTTCCGCCCTCAACCTTCAACCTGAGGGCTATCCGCATCGTTCTATATCTCTCAATAACCTTGCAAAGTCTCTAACGACCCGATATGAGCAGCATGGAAGTTCTGAGGACCTTGAAGAAGCCATCGAATTGGGACGAGCTGCCCTGTTGCTTCGCTCCGAAGGTTATCTGGATCGTTCTGCCCCTCTTCTGAATCTTGCGAGGTCTCTATGGACTCGATACGAACAGCATGGAAGAACAGAGGATCTTGAGGAAGCTATTAATCTAGATCGAGAGGCCCTCAAGCTCTCCCCCTTAGGTCATCCGGATCGTCCTTTATCTCTCAATAACCTTGCGGGCAATCTGACGAGTCGATATTATCAACACGGAAGGACAGAGGACCTTGAGAACGCCATCGAGATGCATCGAGCCGCCGTTGCGCTTCAACCCGAAGGTCATCCAGATCGCTCTGCCTTTCTCACTAATTTTGCAAACTCTCTGACCACTCGATATCAGAAGCATGGAAGGGCGGAGGATCTTAAGGAGGCCGTAGAGATACATCGAGCTGCCCTTAAGCATTGCGGGAAAGGGCATCCGAATCGTCCTAAGTATCTCATGAACCTTTCATGCTCTCTCCAGGATCGATACCATCAGCATGGAGTCACGAAGTTTCTTGAGGAAGCTATTGAGCTGTATCGAGAAGCTCTCGAGCTTTGCCCCAAAGGTCATACGTCTCGTTATATCTCCCTCAACAACCTCGCGGGTTCTCTGTGGACTCGGTACGAGCGACATAGAAGGACAGAGGACCTTGAGGAGGCTCTTGCGCTTAATCGATCTGCCCTCGAACTCTGCCCCAAAGGGCATCCGAGTCATTCGTTATCTCTCTATTGGCTTGCAGTATCTCTGACGGCTCGATACAAGGAGCATGGAAGGATAGAGGACATCGAGGGGGCTATCAAAGTGCATCGAGCTGCTCTCAAGCTTCGACCCGAAGGCCATCCGGATCGTTCCCGTTCACTAAGGAGCCTTGCAGATAGCTTACATGCTCGGGTTGAGAAACATTGGCATACGAAAGAGTTCGAAGAATGTATGCGGTCGCTAGAGTTTGCCGCCACAGATAAATTCTCAGGATTGTCGGAACGCCTTGTTGCTGCGCGACAATGGGTGAAGCTTGCACGATTGCACGACCACAGCACTGTCTTTGCAGCTTACAAGGCAGTAATATCAATACTTCAGAACGCTCTCACCATAAATCCAACCCTCCACGCACAGCATGACTTCCTTCTAAAGAATAGTGATTACACGACGCTCTCCTTGGACGCTGCTTCCTACGCAGTAAAGAAGAATCAATTGGAACAAGCCGTAGAGATTCTAGAGCAGGGAAGAGGATTACTTTGGTCGCAGCTGCGCGGTCTCAGGTCTCCTCTGGATCAACTCGCAAAAACAAACAATGAGCTCGCCGATAGATTCAAGAATGTCACTCATCGACTGGAGAAACTGGCAACATCGCATGAACCGCCGACATCTGCTTCAACCATGTACGGAGGCGGCTCGCTTGGGTTCGGCGTCAGAAAGGGCCGGGAATCGTTTGACGAGCTGTTGAAGTTAAAGAGAGAACTTTCTAGTGAGCAAGAGGAAGTCATTAGTGAGATTCGACGAATTCCAGGGTTCGAGAGCTTCCTTGAAGCTACGTCATTTAAGGTACTACAGCAGGCAGCTGTGGAGGGTCCAGTCATCATGGTTAATCACAGCAAAGTTCGCTCCGATGCTCTCATCATTCTCTCTCGTGATGACCCATCGGTTATATGTGTCCCGTTGGATAATGAGTTCCACCTGGACAGCCTTGGGCTGTCGCAAGAACTTGTAGTGACGCGCGAATGGCTCAACGCTGATTCGTCCCATTATGATCAAAAACTTCGTAAAGCAATGAAGATGTTATGGGATAGAGTCGTTTCGAAAGTCGTCGTTGGACTTGAAAAGGTTGGAATCACTAAAGGCTCTCGCATCTGGTGGTGTCCTACATCTGAGTTGTCCGCACTTCCATTCCATGCAGCAGGGCCGTTCGAGGATGCAAGTGGCACAATGAAATATTTATTGGATGATTATATCTCGTCGTATACGCCGACTCTCGGAGCCCTCGTCAATGCTCGCTCAGGTGGCTACAAAGACGATCCAACGGTGCTCGCCATCGGAGATACCTCACTTCGGTCGACTAAGCAGGAGATTTCCAACATCCGCAACTGTGGGATGAGCACCAAATTACTCATCGACAAGAAAGCGTCTCACGATAGAGTGATTAAAGCCCTCCGGGAAGCAACCTGGGTCCACTTCGCTTGCCATGGACATCTAGGCTCGACACCTTTCAATTCTTCGTTCAATCTATCAGACCGTCATCTGACAATGCTCGATATCGTCCAAAACAGACTTCCGAATGCAGAATTCGCTTTTCTTTCTGCCTGCCACACTGCAGAGCAACATCACGACAGTGCATATGACGAAACTCTTCACCTCGCAGCAGCTATGCAATTTTCTGGTTTCAGAAGTGTAATTGGTTCAATGTGGGAGTTGCTTGACAAGGATGGGCCTGGATTAACTAAATCTGTTTATGAGCACATTAATGACTGCGAAGTGGATGAGGCAAAGTATAAGAGGGCAGCTGGAGGCCTTCGCAAAGCAGCATTGGAGTTGAAGGCACGAGATGGGATTCAAGCCGAGCGTTGGGTTAATCTCGTGCATATAGGTGCTTGAATAATGTTATATTACTCTATACAATTTGTTTAACTGGATTTATTTTTACAATATCTATAACCTATCTTGACGTGGGTTCCTCACATCAACATTAATTTCTGTAACCACAACTCCGGAGAAGTCTCACACATCCTGTTGCTACAGTGGATGATTAGAGTAAGGAATGTAGTTTGTAAGTCAGTGCATAAAAGTTGCTGTTACAAATTCATCCAACTACTCTCAAAAATGCTTATAGATTGGAATCCCATCCACAATTGTTGCTTATGACTGAGAATTTGCTGTAAATTCGAGAGAAAAAGTATTTCTCTGGTGTGAGTTCAGAAGTATAAAAAAACTCATATGATATTTGTTCTTCAACAAAAATATCTCATTGTTACTGATTTTACAGAACAGGATATGTGTCATCATTGTCCCTACAAACAGTTGTGACTATCGACTTATCCTTTCAGTCTAAGGATATCTGGAAAGCCTATAATCCATACAGTTTACACTTTACAGATATTTATAACTAGGATGAGTGCGATCTTTCGATTTTCTAAACTCCTCTTGATTCCTGGTAAGGTCTCTGAGGCCAGCTGCATTTTTGTTCTCAATATAACCTTTTGCCTGTTCTTTGTGATTCTCTATTTTATCTTTATAACGTTTATACTCCTCTTCATACCAAGGAATTGGTTCCTTTGCTTGTTCGTTTATGCAACGATTCAATCGTGCAATCAAATGAACTATATCGTGATGGATTACGTCTAATCGACTTTTGACGAGATTCTGTGTAAATGGATCCAGCTTACTCTCTTCAACCTCTTCAATGTACTTCGAGAAACTCTGAGAAACCTGTCTTTGGAAATCCTCTGCTTTATTAAACTGCTCAAGCAGCTTTTTGAATGCTTCCAGTCTGCGTTCCAGCTTTCCTTGTATTTCTTCAAGTCCCTTGATGGATGCTTGATATCTTTCTAGTTCCTCTTGGAAATCGGGCGTGACGGTACGTTCACTATGATTACTGCCTCGGTTTGGTTTTGAAGATCGTTTCTGACTCATAGTGACTTACGATTTCGCCGGGGTTGACTCGGCCTACAATGACAGTGTCACAGGATGTAGCTCATATACTAGACTCCTTTGCTGATTTATATGATGTTGTAATTCCTAGACATCAAGATGCAAAGTACACTATCTGACAATCATGCTCAAGCCAACACATGTGATCTAGCATGCATAGTAGCTGTGAATGCTGATTTCACAACGGCTTTGAGCAGTACATTTGTATACCTCACTTCCTTCAACTAAGCAGGAGATTTCCAATATCCGGAATTGTGGGATGAGCACCAAATTACTTATCGACAAGTAAGCGTCTCATGATAGTGATCAAGGTCATCCGGGAAGCAACATGGGTGATGGGTCCACTTTGCTTATCATGGACTTCTTGGCTCAACACCTTTCAATACCACGTTCAAACTATTGGATTGCAGGACTACAATGATTGATATTGTCCAAAGCAGACTTCCGAATGCGGATTTTGCTTTTCTTTCTGCCTGCCACACTCTGGTACACTGTGGAGCAACATCACGACAGTGCATATGACAATACTCTTTATCTTGAAGCTGCCAAGGCATTTTTCTGATTTCCGAAGTGTAATTGGTTCGAGGTGGGAGCTACTTGACAAGGATGGGCCTGTATTAGAAACTAAAGCCCATTATGAGTATATTAATAACTGCAAAGAGCGTGAGGCGAAGTATAAGAGGGCGGCAAGGGATCCTTGCAAAGCAGCACTGGCCCGGGAGCTGAAAGCGCGAGATGGGATTCAGGTTGAGCAATGGGTGAATCTTGTACATATTGATGCTTGAATCATATTTTAATAAATTGTGCAACACGTTCACTGGTAGTACAATGGCTTCTTTCCTTTGGTCATCGACGATCTGGATTCCAGACAAACGCAGCACATTAACGCTAATAAAAGAATGAGATTAATGATAATCACAATACTTTTGGCAGTGTTTCAGATGTAGGCCAGTGTGTGCAGTCTACATTTATGATTGTTCCGAACAACCATATTTTTAAATACCCTGTCCAATAAGTACATTGTCGTCTGACAAATTTGGTCTTCCAACACGTGGATGTACTTTTCTAGCAACGACTTCCGCGGACTGTCTGTAAATTTAGTAACATCTTTGATGAACGCTGCATCAATAACAGCAAGTAATGAGACTAGTAGCGCTGACCGTTTATTCGGTGTGCGATAATAACAGAGATATCAGACTAGAAATGATCTCAATCCGGATATCAATCATGTTATCACACAGCATTTCCTGTATGTGTGTATATATAACAGTGTAGAGCTTCTTCGGTTTTGCTGAGACCCCCCAGTCTCAAGACTCTCTCTACCAGTGGGCTTACTGTAAGACGCCCAGTCACCAGTCATCATTCATGGTTTGGGGTGTGATCTCATCGTCTACACACGATGCTTCTATCATACAAGTAACTAAATTTATTAATGGTAGGTTGTCAGATTGAACGCTACTCTGTCGAACATGATAAACTGATTCTAATCATTTTATATACATAGTTTCCCCAATGGCCTTGTATATTTATAATTTCTGTTAGTTTATAATTATTTATCGCCTCTACTCGTGTGCTTCACCTTATTATAGTCCTTACGTACAACGATGAGCTCAAGTACATGTGGGTAAGTATCTTATTAAACGCCTAAGTATTTTGTCTGATTGGTCCGTGAACTATAGAGAGCTGAGTTTGGACTGGGAAAAGCTGTTTTCTTTGTTGTATGTTTGTCAGAACGTCTTCTGCTAGCCAAATGCTTTAATCATGTTATCAGATCCGCTACATGACTCTGCTCGTCATTGTGTATGTTATATTCAACAAACTGCCATTACTTACTGTACATTAAACGTCTTTCGCTAGACTCACCAATACTGGTAACTACCTATAGCAAATAACAAATATGAGTATACCAAAGAACCGCAGCACTGTTTCTTCCTGATGCATCAGATGAAGTGAGTTGTTATTACCTACTTCATGTTTCCTTTGATGCTTACAATGTGCTAGTCGTTCGTACTTGCTTTTGACGCGAAATAAAGTTTTTTTATATACTTATTTATTCAATTTTCTGATTCCAGATGTAAGTGAATGGTCTATCCAATTTTTCTGTTCCTTTAACAATATTTTCCCTATAGGCTTGGCTTGGATGCGAATCCATTGCATCACGTCTGTAGCAATTGCGCTTCTTACCGAAGGTAAGGGCACAGCACTATCTCTCTGTCTCGTTTCATTTCTGAGCTATTTGAGTTAGTTCCACTGGTACTGCGCATATACGCACTGTATAACAAAGACAGCCGAATACTTACTCTACTAATATCATGTCTCGTTGCAACAACCATCAGCGTAATCGGCATCAGTGCAAAACTCATGCACTCCGAACAGAGTAAGTACAACCGGTTTCTTATTATATAAGACCATTCAAATTAATTATACTCTCTCTTCAGGCGAAATCGTCCATTTCGCGTCAGCATCAAATCTGAACGTTTGCATCTTGACAGAAGCATCTAGCATATACAAGGTCTTCTGGGTCCCACTCCTATTGAACGAAGCTCTGCTCGTATCCCTGGCTTTGATAAAGTGGTTCCAGAACCTCAAAGTACATGGCGTGCAAGATTCTGCAATGAATGACATGGTGAAAGATTCTGTCTTGTACTTCTTTGCGTGAGTTTTCGTCTCTCATTCGTAGTTACGTACATCTAATTTGATTCTTCATCGATTAGGACTTTCCCATTCCTACTATTCATCCTACTCACATGGACCTTTGGAGGTGTAAGTAAAATCGTGACCCTACATTATCGTAGTGACCCATACTATTCTTGCGTAGACATTATTCTTGGAACTACCAGTTGGTTTCGCCGTCGTAATGGGTAGCATCATGTCTCAAAGGCTGCTCGTCAACGTTCGAAAATACCAATTCGGACATCCATTCGATGTCCTTCGTGCTCTCAAAGGACAGTCATTGAGGGACACGCGAAGATTCACAATTGCGGGTTGTATCATTGCAGCTGGGAACTTCGACTAGGTAGTGCGGGCCTTAAGGTCGGGGGAAGAACTTGAGGTGTTTAGGCAAACAACGAGGATTCCCGGTCAAACCTATCAAGACAGTATTCGAAGGCCGAGTCGACCGGACAGGCGCTTGTAACCTATACACTAGGTCCTGTTAGAGTCGGGAAATCTGCATAGCATTACAATCAAACAGAAAATTACACTGCATGATATGCAAGGTAAAAAGGGTCAACTGAGGTGAACATAGATCTGATGATCGGAGTCAAAAAATAAGAGATCCAGGAATAAACCACAAATAAAAGGGAAAATCAGTAAAGATGAACGTGTGAAAAGTGTTAGCCTCCACGAAGAACAAGAAGCGACGAATATTCAAAGAAAACTGGTCAGAGAGAAGAATATTTTACAGAAAAAATTGGAAGATGGTACTGTGAACTTCTCTTCTCGTAATGTAAGGGAGTTGTTCACGTGCAACGTTATCGGTGCTTAAAGTAGGGTGCCTTCTAGCCGTATAAACGTGTTTGGCGTATGTACATGCGTTCATTACCGTCACCATGCAAATAAATATGTCGAAAGGAGGGTGCGAAGCATTAGAGCGGAACAAGCGAAAGCGGAACGTTTCCAGTTAATAGCGAGCTTATTGAGTATCTAGAGGAAGTCGGCACCTCGTAAATGGTTCCTTAGGATACCCTCACGAACTGTGTTGTCATAATCATTTTGTAAGGTAAGAGAGGAAGAAGAAATGAGACAGAGACGTACCAGCGCCGAGTGTCAAGGCAGTTGCCTTCGTGTCCTGCGAAGAAGCACCGTCGACATTCAGGGAGTGTCGGCTGACAAGGATGGACAGAACTTACAACGACAGAAGTCAGATGTGCGTAGATAGGACGTGGTTCTGGCGAATACTGCTTTGACATATCGCGGAACTTGGTACGCATATCTGTATGGATTCAACGGCATCAGCAAAGTACTCTTTCGTGACGAAGGCAGAGGACGAACACTTGGCAACTGTGCCGAGCGTATTACTCCTATCCCCGAAGCTCGGAACAAAGTCCTTGACCATCACACCGGAGCGCAACTTCTTATCGAGCAGGTCACATTTGTTCAGGAACAAGACGAGTTGTGTCTTCGAAAGCAGCTTGCTCGAGCAGACTGCTTTCCAGAGGAGGAAGCTGTCTTCGAGACGGTTGACACGCTTGTCTTCTGCAAGCTTCTCGTCGAAGCAGTTGATGGGCGCAAGAAAGATGATCGCGTTAACGTCGTCGAAGTAGCTAGCCCAAGCCTTGAATGCTACAAATTAGACCAGGACAAAAGGGCAGTTAAAGCGGAGGTAACACGCACTGGTCGGAGTGATCTGGTCCCGCCAACATCGTACATCCACCACTCTTGACCTGCTTCGCTACCCTTTTCGAAGAAAAATCGATACTCTTGCACACCCATAGTACGTAGACGAGCGCGGACAATGTCATCGTCTGACGGGGAATAGTCGAGAGACGCAACACGTTCTACATCGTCGAGGAAAAATCCGGCGGAATCTTCAAGCCGCAGCTTCCGTCGCGTTAGCATCTGCCGAATGGTCGGGTCTTGCCAGAGTGCAGCCATACTACCGAAGGCGGCCGTTAATTTTTCTTTCCCGACTGACACATTTTACAGTTAAAACGAGGAACATTTTACGTACTCGTCACGACAACCAGCGATAATGGCCGTAGTCTCTTCCGACTCCCGCTCGCGGAGTTCGCGGCCATGTGCCTCTTCGCGACTTCCAGTCGAGTTTCGAGGACGGAGTTTGTCTAGTGCAGTCTTCCACCCAGTTGTAGACCTTACATAGAACTCTTGAGGTGCTGCAACAGTTGATGCGCCCGTGTCAGTGGGTTCTTGCGATCCTGCACTTCAATGACACAGTGAAATGTCAATAATCTAGTAGTGCTTGCAAAACCACAAAATGAGCGATCATACCCGATTCGTCGCTCGAGGTCTTTTTGGACTCGTCGGAGTGGGGCGAGGCGAAGTTTGAGCAGCTTGTGCGTCTCTGTGAACTGCAACCGAGTTGCATCACGCGACTCGTCTTCCTCTTCGGAATCTGAAGAGACAGGGGAAGCGAGATAGCCAGACGAGCTCATGTCTCGTTGAAGGAGGTCAAGGATCGTATTGACGGATCGCAGCAAATTGAGTTGGATGACTGAGCGCCAGCCATCCCGCTCCTCTTGCCAGGCATTGCGCGCGTACGTGAGTTGGAAGTCTGTCCTCCGTTATTCGTTATGAGCATATATACACACACGTAAGGCACTGGAGACAACTCACTCTTTAGAGTTGTGGACTTGCCACTCTCCGATCTGGACATGGGAGGTTAGCAACAGCAGACAACGACAGCACACCACTCACTGGCCAAGTAGTAGAACCTTGACCGGCTTCTTCTTTCTGCGCATTGCTGCGCGTTCTTTGTGCAAAGCTTCGTCGATCTCATCGCTTACCCTCTTCGCCTCTCGCTCGTGATGCAATCGCGTTTCACGTTCTTCGGGGGATTCATTTGGTGGAGGCGCGATAGCTGCGGTGAGGGGGTCGTCGATGTCGAGCGAACGGCCCATTTTTTGGACGCGATGGAGGTGGGGGGAAGAGGAAGAAACAAAGGGAGAGGGGGAGAGACTCAGATAGAGATCCATCAACTGCTGAAACGACAGAATATATTACGTAATCACCTCGTTTGCTAGGGAGGATCGTTCTTCGCATTTAAAACAGAATTTCCGCTTACTAGTAGTAGTATCCTCGAGCCTCTCAAACACACTTAACTTGGCTTCCTTCGGCTGCCCACACGGGAAAACTCTGTTCTCGTGGACTCGTCGCTCCCATCTTCTTTGGCCTCATGTGTGCATATCCCCTTCTCACACTCAACAGGGACCGCATGGACTACACCAAATTCTCAACAGCTTCATCTCTCTCTGACGTCTCCCATCACTGTCGTTTGTATACGCGATGCTCAAATGATTGGCACAGGACCTCCCAGCAAAGTTTGCGCTAGTCGCAGTCACATCTGGCCACGTGAACCTTTTGGCTCAGAATGAATCAACGACCTGGAACTTCTGTAATCAAATATACGTGCAACCGCCGTCCTTAATCTCGGCTTGGTCTAGGAGACGGTATCGAACTTAGTCAGCGTCTTCGCGGCTTTTGAATCCTGTTGTAGTGTTTGACAGGTACCGTACTTTCTCCGCTACGAGTAGTACGACGACAATGCGCAAATCTACCGTCTACATCTCACATGCGTGGCATCTCTTGACTTGACAGAGATACTATAGGCGAAACTACCTATTTATCACATCGGCTTACTCGTTTTTTCCTGCGTCAAATCTTCAGCTGCGACGTCGTCGCGACATGAATCAGCATCTTCATCCTAGTGCCATCCGCCCTTTATTCGGTCTCAGTACCATGCGCGTCCAAAGTAATTCTTTTCTCCTATAAATCTACGCCACATGTCTGATTCCTGCTGTGCAAGCGCCATTATTCAACTCTGCGATCTTGATGGCAAGCCAATATCACCAATATCACAAGCTCGCCATCGCTGTTACGTTGACCCCGAGAAAAGTGCGCAAGTAGGCTGAAGGCCGGAGATAGCAGCTTCCCATTTAGGTCTCTATCAGCCCAGGGTCAGTGCGGCCTGGAAAATCGCACCTCTGGCACTCTTCTTCACCAGGTTCTTCTGCATTGTGGACTGGGCTTCTGTTGATGTGGGGCCATTAGTTCGGCGACTATGTGGAGATGCGGGCCCGACAATGTGTCCATCCACGTCACTGGCATCACATAAGTAGACTTGAAGAACAAGAGTTCAATACAAGGAAAGTAGGTCGAAATCGAAGTATTTCACGTGCTCGGATTTCTATTGGTCCCAAATAACAAAGTAATAACGCCATTTCTATACTCCTTTCAAAGTCCGGCATGTCTTCGATCCACAATTACTATACGCTTCAACTAACATTGAATACTATATCCGTTTTTCGAACAGAACAGTGCTCCGCTCGATTCCTTGATCTAGCAATCCTGATCGTATACGCATGTTACAGAACTAGTTTTAGCCAACATCCAAGAGAGTGTACTCGTTATACTGATATCATCAACCTCATCTTATAATGTTTCTCTTGATCTCTTTTGAAATTGCCACCATGTAAATAAATCCAATCTACTCCTCCTGTCCAACCCAACACTGTACCGGTAAAGTATCCATTTGTAAATGTAGTACTTGTGCATAATGCCGATCTAATCTTCTACTCTCACACATCATGTTACTATTGAGAGAATCACTGAAGGTGTCCTTCCACATCTCGAAAGGGAGAATAATATTCACAATAACTAACATACTCCTCTGGGCCTCCTTGATCGCTCAGTATGGTAGAATATAAGAAGTGCAAGGTAATGCAAATATACTCGGAAGCCTAATTGAAGGCTATGTCAGTAATTGTTTTCAACCTGTAACTAGTACCTTCGTTCGTGCCACGTTCGCCAGCCTTCTTCAAATGAAACAATATCCGACTTCCCAAAAAATGACAGACTTCCCAGGAATTGCAAAACGAGTGGTACAGTTGAATTGTCTGTCTCAGCTTTGAACTCCACAATGTTACAAATGTAGCAAAATACAGTACTGTGACAGCTTAACATTGCTTCAGTGAACACAATTACTTGACGGTGAATAAAGCGTAGACACGTACCAATCAGAAACTCCCCATGCAATAGGAGGAACCTTATTAATGCTGCATAGAGTTGTGCTCCTTGATAGAGGAACAACAGTAACTAATAAAACATTAGTCAAATCAAATAAGGAATATTATGTCGAATCTCACTATCTTGTAGAATGGTGGCATAAATAGTAATTGCAAGTTCGATGCAGCCTTCACGAATAAAAACAACTTTAAAAAGATTGCTAATATCCGATCTATGTTGTGAAATAGTCATTAATGGTCAGCAAGCTATGTATGGGATAAAGCAGGACCTACTTTGCTGGTAGAAGGCCAGAACACAGATCAAAAGCATATCTATTTCATATCAGGGCTGTGGCTAGTAATGCAAAGATTGTCAGCAACAGTGTAGAGGGGACCTGAAGGCTCAGCAAGGGGACCC